AAATTTGAAAGGGTCTCAATATATCCCATACCTCCAAAAGTAAAACAAGAGGCCCATGGGCCACATTGCTCACCTAAGCACATTGGCTAGGAAAAAACACAAATCAGTTCAGTATTGAAAAGATTGGGGGGAGGGGGGGGGGGGGCTTGAATTTTAAACTACCTTCCATGTCAATTTAACAAATGGCCTTGTTGTACTTGAAAAGCTTTTAATAAAATTTCCCATATATTCCTTTGTAAAAATTTGATTCCCCATTGTGGCTCCTCCCTATCCCATGGGTCATCATTTGAACAAACTTGAATCTACACTATCTGAGGATGCTTCCATATCAATATGACTAAACATAGTTTTCCTGTTCTTGAGAAGAAATATTTTTATCTATATGTTCTTATGTAAAACTTTCGATCCCCCATTGGGTCCCATCCTACCCCCGCAAAGACGGATCCAGGGCCAGTGCGCTGGGCATGCTCCCCCCGTTTGAATTAAGAATTTGTCAGCTTCCCAGACCCCCACCTCTAGGCCTTGCTTTAGACCCATTTGGGGCTTCAATGCAGCCCCAAGACCCACTGCCTCTAACCCCCCCCCCCCCCCCGTTACGAAATTTCTGGATCCGCCACTGCCCCGGGGGTCATCATTTGAACAGAATCGAATTTAAACTACCTGAGGATGCTTCCATATCAAAATGACTAAACATGATTTTCAGTTCTTGAGAAGAAGATATTTTCCTTTATGTTCCTATGTAAAATTTTCAATTCCCCATTGGGCCCCACCCTACCCCCGGGGGTCATCATTTGAACAAAATTGAATTTACACTACCTGAGGATGCTTCCATATCAAAATGACTTATCATGGCTTTGCAGTTCTTCATCAGAAGATATTTTCCTATATATTTCTATTTAAGACTTTGATCCTCCATTGTGGCCCCACCCTACCCCCCGAGGGTCATGATTTGAACAAAATAGAATCTACACTACCTAAGGATGCTTCCACATAAATATGGCCAATCAGGGCTTTGCCGTTCCTGAGAAGAAGATTTTTTTAAGATTTATTTCAATGTAAAACTTTGATAGTCCATTGTGGCCCCGCCCTACCCCCGGGGGTCATGGTTTGAACAAATTTGAATCTACACTACCTGAGGATGCTTCCACACGAGTTTCACCTTTCCTGGCCCTGTGGTTCTTGAGAAGAAGATTTTTAAAAGATGCTATTAATTTTTCACCAATTTTCTGTTATCTCCGCTTGAAAGAGGGCGTGGTCCTTCATTTGAACAAACTTGAATCCCCTCTACCCATGGATACTTTGTGGCAAGTTTGGTTGAAATTGGCCCAGTGGTTCTGGAGAAGAAGATGAAATTGTGAAAAGTTTACAACGACGCCGACGACAGACAATGGACAAATTTCGATCAGAAAAGCTCACTTGAGCCTTCGGCTCAGGTGAGCTATAAAGGTTAAGGGTTAATCTCCCACCTTTCTAAGTCTACTGAATTATTAAAAAGACTTCACTTCAGAATTTTTTAATTATAATTATCATAACTCTAAATAGATCTCAGTGTTCCATTAAGAAACCAAAAACTACAATAAAGTGAAAAAAGGGGGAGGGAAAATCATGTTAAACCAAAAAAGGAGAAAAAATAACAGTGAAAAAAAATTTAGTATATAAACATAAGCAACAATCTCTAAGAAACAACCAAAAGTAATGGAAAACAAACATTAGACATCTATGTGTATTTTTTTTAAGATACGCCTAACTATATCCATGTATTCACACAGTTTTACTATAATAAGCATTATGATTATGTTTATGTTAAGTAACTAATAATCTAGTATTTAAAAAAGATGCATACTTATAAACCAAGACCAAAGTACCTGAAAATAACATCACCATGATTATGTTAGAAAATTTTACATTGTTGACCTATTTATCGACATTATTGTGTAAAGCAGCACTGCATGCCTGGATTCTAAAAATAAATTTAGCCACACTAGCTGCAGTGGTCAGTGTTATGGAGTAATTAGGTCAATGGTTCACACTGCAAACCTGGATTCTAAAAATAGGTCTTTCAAGCACACTAGCGGCAGCAAATGAGTAAATAATCTAGGTCAATGATAAATAAACTTCAGATGGGAAGATTAGATCCGCCTAACTAATCGCACAAATATTCATACGCAGTAATTGTAAATTGTACAGATATTTAATTGAATTTTTCTTGAAAAAACACAAAAGACATAAATAATGTAACAATATGAAATTTTACACTGTTTATACGTCTTAAGTTTATGCAATCACTCAAACAAAAACATGTTTTGCTAGAACTATCATATTTGGCGTATGAATCACCTTGATGAATGAGTGATAAATTTTACAGCTCTGTTAATTTTTCAGCTGTGTTAACAAGGAGTAGCTCGCTCCGCGGGCCGACTCAAAAATCATTCTATGCATTTAATTTTTCCTGAATAAAGAATGCAAACATGGCAAAATACCCTTCTTCGGGATGAAGTTCGATAATACTGTAAAATATTTACATTTCCAAATATTTTTCCTTAAGATTCTTTGCAAATTAGAAAAAGTTCATGTTCTCATGAACTACGGTGGGATGAGTAAGAATATTTCCATTGTGATGTGATTGAAGTCAAAAAATAGTGCAAACTTTTTTCAAAAAATGATTGTTGAATGACAAAGATATGTGGCAAATCATCAGAAAAATAATGTAAATATAAGATATGAATTTAATTTTTGAGAATTCATGAGGTACATGAATTACAACGTTTCACGCCTGCATACATGTATTTATCATGAAGCGCCTCATGAAATATGCCAGCATGAAGCATCGTAGTTCATGTCCTCATGAATTCTCAAAAATTAAATTCATCTCTTAACATACTTGTTTCCAAGGGTTCATAATTCCGCAGAATCACAATTTCTGTTCAATCCACGGATAGAAAATTAAGCATATTTCTTCGATTACCATTGAATGTCTTAAATGCACTTTAAGCTGTGACAAATTTCTATGGAAATATGTGACCACATATAGAGGGTAAATAAATCCCAAATGGAAAAATATAAGTCTACAGTAAATCATACAGCAAACTTTTAATCTGATACAGTTGGTTTTAGAATAACACATTCCTGTAGTGACGTTTTTCATACTAATTGTTAGGCCATTATTTACACACTATATTGTCTATGGATTTTTCCGTTTTCCCCCCAGTCATGACAAGGAGCGCACGGTGAGTGTGACCGGTCAGCAGGGGATGCTCACTTCTCCATGGCACCTGATCCCACATCTGATGTTTTTGGAGGTCTGTGTTTGCTCTGCTCCTGATCTATATTGTTTAAATGGACTATGAGCTTGAATATTATCGTTATCTCCATATTTCATTTGTCTACCGACTGACAGGTGCAAAACAATATGCCCCTTTTTTTTCAAGGGGGCATAATTACAAAATCCATGAACTTGAATGTGACATTTGATGTTGAGTACCATAATTAGAGTCTTATCTTGTATAATAGTTCAAATTTTATGGCCAAGATTACGGTTGTGAACAGAAACACCAAAAAAAAAAAAATGAAACTCCTGACATGAGTTACATGTATATCAAGAATTTTTTGAGAAATATATTTTAGATAACAACTCACATGGCATGACTCAAAATTGCAAAGCAAATTGATGTAATCATAGCAATAAATGCAATCTAATTTTTTTGTAAAATAGTTTGAATAATATTTATTATTGAAACTAGATGTGTCGTTAACGCCACGAATGACCCCGCAAGTAGCCAAAATTTCAAATGCAATATTTAGTTTTAAATTTGTATTCAAACTTGACCTGTATTTTCTGATAAAATACCTGCATATGCAATTTCAACCTTATACATACATCCCTACAAAAGTTAGAGAGTGGAAAACTGAAAATTTCTTATTTTTTCTAAGTTCAAGAGGGATAACTCAAAAATCATCGGACCATTACCAAATTCGAACTTGACCTGCGTATTCCTATGACGTATCCATATGTCAAATTTGAGTTGAGCGAGTGCAACTGTTGCAGAGAAAATGAACGCAAAGTGAATGATGACGGAACAGGGTAACACTATATGTCCCCGCCATTTCATGGAGGGGGCATAAAAATATATACATGAAGGGCTAAAGTTCCAAGCTATTCAATTAAACAAATGTGTAGATTTGAAGAATTTTCTTCTCAATATCCTTCCACAAGAAATTGTCCCCAATAAATCTTGTTTCTTTACAATTTTGTGAGCAGTTTTTTAGATTGAATATTGTATAACTTTCATTGTTTAAATCAAATATATCATAAAAATTGAATTGTAATAAATAATTTTGAAGTTGGAGGCTCCGACCAAACTTTTCTCAAAAGCTGTCGAGTGACATGCCTTAAATTTGATGTTATTTGAATAAAAATATCTACATTTGTACATGTATTTGGACAGGAAAAATCCACTATTCCTGATACAACATAATGCTCCATTTTGAATAATTGATAATACAAAATTGAGTTATGTGGTATTTCATCAATTTATTTATTTTTTGGCTTTCTGGTTTGACAATGAAACTATCACCACTGTATTAATAAAATAATGTAAATGTATAAACACATATGTACTGTAAATATATCCAAAATTACTAGTAAGTATAAAACAACAGATGAACAGTAAATTCACTGTTGATAAAAAAAATTTCATACAGTATCTAACATTCATAAAATATGTAAAAAAAAAAAAAAAATTAAAAAAAATAAGAACAGTTTAAAATCTTTCATTTGAAAAATTATAATGGTTTGTTGCTTTTGAATGTGTCATTTTTATCATACAATGACTGGAAAATGCACATTCCACTTCAGTCCTTGACAAAAAGCTTTTTAAATAATTACGGTAACTCAAATATTTTAGGAATGACTCTAATTCTTGGCCAAATAATTCGAGTATAACCTGGTTTGTGTCAGTTTACGCTTTATAATCCGCGAAGCGGATTATAAAACAGCATAAACTGACCCAAACCAGGTTATACTCGAATTATTTGGCCAAGAATTAGAGTCATTCCTTATAATTTAATTTTAAAATCATTAAATAAGTATGGGTGTAAAATTTCATTACTTTTTATTAGTTCAAATTTGCCGCTCAATAATACAACCGTAGTAACGGAAGTAACGGAAGTGATGGGAATCGAGGGGAGGTAATAACTGATACATAGGCCTAGAAGCCATGTTGTTTGGTTACATGTGGTAAGATCGAATTATCGTTTGAAATTAAAGGTACATTTATTAAATCTGGAATTTTCCATGAATCCTGAGGACTGGAAATGAGAGGATTGTATGGATACAGATGATTCAGCTGGTTGTCAAGGGGGGGTGTCCCCATACCAAACCAGGTTATACAGAAATAATTTGCGTTCCTTTTTGGATATTAACCAATCAGAGGCTAGAATACAAACAAAATTAAATTATTCTCATATATGTGCCTGATGAAGAGTGGTATATGTATTGGGTTTCATGTTATCTAAACATTTCAAATGATATTCCAAATACTGTACACAGTGACGTTTACGCATTTTTAATTATGCGAATAACTTGCAAACACAAAATGTCTGTGAAACCAAGATGATGTATCTTTAATAGTGAATGAAATATATCCAAAAGTATTGGTACATGAGGGAGTATTTATGGGATAGATTTTTTTATATATGTACTGAATTTAGCATAAATTTAGCATAAATTACCCACACACACATAAATTTCTTCCTTTGTAGTATATGTCCTTGTAAATAATGAGAAGCTACCACAGAAAGATTGAGGTGTTGAATATTTTTACATCATAATTTCATTGACATTTAAAGCAAGTGAATAATATACTGTTATTAGGGCACAAAATATCTAAAAAGATTATAAAAAGGAAAGAAAACTTAACAAATAATATGATTAAGTAGAGAGCAGAAAATCCAAGTAAATCCTTAGATACTAGTAGCTTGACTAACACTTTGTAGATTTAATGTAACAATAAATATGAATATTATACTAGTATTTAAGTCCCTATATCACTATTACAGCATCAGGAAGAACAGAAGTCATTCCACTTCACTTTCCCAGATTCTCTGGCTGCTTTTTTATGACAGCCCACTTGGACCAGTTTTAAATTTTCCCGAGTGAAGAGTAATCGGAACAGAAGATCTGCATTGAGAGTTTGCTGTTTCTGCTTGTTACGAGCTGCTTCCATAAGCGTTGGCATCACCTCGCGAGATTTTTCAATTCTAAAAGGAGTAAATGACAGAGTATAGCATAGATATTTATATGTGAGGTAATGATGCAGTTTTTGTCGTAATTAGTAGATGGTTATAGATTACAGCATGGCTCACCTCAACAAATGTCATGTACTGTCAAGAATATGCAAGGCAAAGTCAAACAACAAATAAATCTTCAATCGGCCTAGTTTGATCAAGGTCAGGCCTAGGACTTGGCCTTAATCAAAAAAACTATCTGTCACTAGGAAATGGCCCTATTCAACAATAAACTATATTTGTAGTCACATAGTGAGAAATATTGGTCAAACACAATGCCGGTATGTTATAAAGCATAGAATTAACATTGGTTCCAAGATACTACATGTATGCATCACCAGAACAATCATCCAGGCAACTTTAATCTCTACTTGCCTTACAGTAAATTCAGAATGTACTTGCTCTACAGTTCAACCTTAAAAAAACATTTGTCAGTGGATCTTTAGCAATATAGGTTACCAAAACCTGCTATGGTGAGCCATACTTTTTCCTCATGGTAAATTTTTTCTCTTCATATCAAACTTATTGTTCATTAATGTCAATATTTATGGTGTTTTAGGTAATACTTGCCTTCATTAGTATTAAATTGCTTATATTTTTTAAAACATGGAAAAGTAAAGGATCATTAATAATTTTTCAATGTGAAATCTTACATATGGTCTAAATTCCACAGTCCAAATAGTTGTCTATATCCCTTGGAAGCATATGGATTTATAGTGTGATACTTGTCACAATTATCCATGTCATATGGTCCTTCACATCTGAACCAGCCCTGGGCATCACACATGCGACCCTTCTCACTGGCTGTACGGTCAAAATAGGAGGAATTATAATCGGACTTTTTAAGCTTTTGCATCACTTCCTCTAAGAGATCTAACAGTTCTTGTTTGCTTTCTTTGTCAGCTTCCTTCTCTATTTGTTCTTTTGCCTGCAATTAAATTCAAACCAATAAAAATAAACACTTAATATATATAAATGGCAGTGGAGTACATTTTTAAAGTTAAATAAAAGCTAAGAAAAAATACTGCCATTTTGTAAAACACATTTGTTATTGCTATTAATTGTCTACATTTTCAAAATTGGATTAAATGTATGAACCAAAATATTTTTGTTTAATAAATAACTCACCGTCACATAATAGCTGCGTAATCTTGTCTGTGCACTGTGTCTCATCAATTCACTCTTTGTCTTATATTTCTTATTAAGTCCTGAAATTATATTTATCACTAGAAGAAAAATAATTCAGTTATGTTTGCTACCAGCTTATCATATATATTAACAGTATTTATAATTACAGTGCTAATCAGAATTCTCCACTCAAGTGTCCACCAAATGAATTATTATTGCACAGAGTTCCAAACTATACTGCACACTGTGTTGTTCATAACCTTATCTCAGCTGAGATAGGCTTGGGTGAATATTTGGACTAATGCCTTAATTCACTGAAGGCAGTGTAGGCATCAATCTAATATCCAACTTAGCTGAATCTCAGCTGAGATTAGCTTATAACCTAGCTAATAATGACTTGGCACTTTTTTTCTTTTTTACCTTCAAACCAATCTTCATGATCTTGTCTTTTCTCTGATGAGGAGTTTGTCTCTAGAAGTTCCAGATATTGAGAAATGATGTGGATCTTCTCAGGAGCATCTTCCGCCTCAAGGAGATCTCGGATCTGGGAGGCAATCTCATTCTTCCTGGTCGCACAATATAACTTACTGAGAGCGTCATGAATCAGAGCTCCAGCTATAAAAGGAATTAAAATAGGGAGATACAATTGTTAGGAATATCTAAGAAAGTTTAATATAATACAAAACTAGTGTGTTTGTTTTTCTAAGAATATATTAAAGAGTTTAACTTTTATTTTTTTTTTCTCTCTTTTGCACTGGAGGCTGCTTGTAAGCAGTTAAAAATGTGCCTAGTATATAAAGAATTTAAAGAAACTGAGCCCATTTTAATGGTATACCCCCTCTCCATGTCTCTCCTTTCTTTAAGAAGACAAATACAGTTTGAGCAGGGAGCTTCCTGAAGAATTTATCATCTGTGACCTCTGTACCATCATCTTCAATTACAACTGTGACTTTATCTGGATCTAACTGTAACAGTAGAAAGATTAATTTGGTGATTAATGACATGTACTGTGATCCATAAACATTCAATCAAAATGTTTAGTTCTCAATAAAAAAAAATCATTCCATCAAGGCCATTTATATGCATGTACCAACAAGTAGGTACTTATAGTGAGTAGCATAACAACCATTTAAATATATTCAATTTCAATACTTGCTGTTTTTTCATGACATTCCCAGAGGAAAAGGTTCAATGAAATAATCATTTGAAATAGAAGAAATCAAAGAAGAACAACAGAATACAGATGAGACAGACTTAGAATTAAAGATTGCAGGCATGATTCCTGGGACACCTAGCTGGCCTAGCAATGTTAATGTTATCAGTCAAAAGACAAAAACTTGACAAAAATGATTACTACCCATGACCCTAAACTGACTGCCCTGGGTCTTGCTCAGTATCCTCCATTGCCAGGAAACGCGACCCAGCTAATATCGAGGAAATCAGACCAACTGTCTGTGTGGGGAACTTGGCCAAAAATGTAACAACAGAACAGTTGGTGAACTTCTTCTCTCAGGTTGGGGAGGTGAAAAATGTCAGAATGTTATAGCACTCTGTGTAGGTCCGGCACAATCTCTTGATTTAGCTATATAGCTTTATTAAGCTATTCAGAATAGCTTGATTAAGCTATTTTATCACATTTTTTCTTAAATGCGTTATTTTCTCAGCATGCACAAAAAGTCGCACCTTGGTGCAATGATAATATTCAATCTCTGGGATTTCACACCACTTTTTGGGACTGGGGCCGGGGCTGTTCAATTGGGAAAATTTTCGTCATTTTGGGGAAAATTGGCAAAACCTGGTTCCTTATCGAAGCCGAACCAGTTTACAAATATAGGTAGCATGCACTAATTTATACAGTCCAAGGCAGAGCTCGTTTATTTAACTTTCACTTGTTGGCGATTAAATTTCATCAATTTAGATTAAAAAAAAATTTTTTGGCAAAAAAAAAAAAAAAAAATTGGGAAATTTACACTTTGTTTTGGGGAAGAAAGGTACCTTTTTTCATTGGGAATGGGGCTGTTCATCAGCCCCAATTATAGAGAATCAAGAGCCCTGAACCTTGAACTCTTCTTAAAATAATGCATGTAAAAATCACTCATGCGACTTTTTGTATATTTCTTACGAAAAACATTTTTCCTGGAAAACTGCATATAAATAGCTTTATCAAGCTATTTTGAATAGCTTTATAAAGCTATATAGCTATTTCAAGCTATAACGTTATAGCTAAGGCCAGGTAAAATTAATCTTTAGATTCTCATCCCCGCCCGCCCCTCTCAAAGTGCCCCGCCCCGTTGTTTTTTATTTTGCTTTTTGGGTGCCAAACGTATTATATTCAGCAAGAATCTGGGTCAAAATTTAAGAGTTATCTCCCGTCTGTATTAAAAGTCGCGTGGCGCTATTTATAGCAAAAAAACTGTGTGAAGAATGGAGAAAAATCGGCAATAAAAGCAGTTTAAATATGTAAGGAAAAGATAATTTGTCAGTAAAGAGAAGGCAGAAAAGGAAAAATAACATATAAACACATCTAGATACCATCACTGGCATGGGCAATTTTTTAAAGAGATTTTAATCAAGTAAAAACAGACGAAGAAAATACATGGTCAAGTTTTAAATAATGATCTCCAGTTGTATGTGATTTTGCATTAAAAAAAATAAAACATCGTCCAAAGACTTTAGAGAATAATAGTGCTAAGGAAATGTTAAATCTTAAAACTGTTCAGGCCTAGGCTTTTCAGCAGAATATTTTACAGATTTACACAATCCTGTTTTGCAAATATGATACTATTTTAATGTCGAACATGTCAAGTCTCAAGAACGATTGAATGTATCAGGACAGTGTAAATCTGTGATATCTGTATATCACACAGAACAGGAGTTGTTGGTAAAACTATAAGGTATTTGGGAAAAGGCCGATGAGAAAACATGCATATGCAATTTATTTGGATCAGCACCTCATTTTGTTTGGCGTGTGCCGTATCCATGTACTTGATAATTTGTTAATAAAACTAACGTTATATGTATTTTTAATTTTCTATAACAAGAATCTTCTGTAGATATTTAAAAGAATATGAAAACAATAAAATCTATTCATATTGGCTTTAACATATGTTAAATTTACGTGTACGAATGTTTTGTTGATAATTTCAATAAAAAATAGAATCCGCCCACCCGCCCCAATTTTTTAGCAAATTAGGATGAGAATCTAAATTTTAAATTTATATGGCCTAAATCAAGAGATTGTGCTGGACCTGCTGTGAAAGACTCAAATTGATGTAGAAAATCATTTAATAAAACCATCTATCACATTAGCTATAGAACCATTCTATAGACGTTTAAAATCAAATAGTGTTTGCAATAATAAAATACAAAAGATTCATGCACCTTCAGTTTCTGTGCTCCTTTCTCCACTAATTCTTTGAAGTTTTTGGCTGTCACTCCAATTCTTTGCTCCCGTTTTACATCTTGGACCTTATAAGCCCTCATTCCGCCATTGAATAATGACAGAAACCGGTCTAGTATAAAAGTCATTTAACCGTATATTTAGATATTTAAATTATTTAAGCTTTTGTTCTTCTTTCATTTTGATGACAACACGTGCTAAATTTAGTAACTCGTTTCATTTTGATATTTCCCGCGTAAAAAATTTCATTTTCCCACTGTTATAAAAGATAACTGCCAGACATTTTACATCAATATAAGTAAATGGGAGAAATGCGACGAAATTTCCAAGAGGATATTTTCATTTTGTAATATTTTCTGATTTTAGGCAAATCTCGTTGCTGCGAGACTTCGGTGCGCCATTGATGTCAATGTACACAAACTGAATGTTGTCAAGTTAATGTAAGTTCATTTAACTTCTTGAATTTTATAGGATTCAAAAAGGTAGTCGTTTGAATTGGCGGGTTTAACGTAGTTCTCTTTGATGTCATTTTAGGAAATGTTTTGATAAACTAGAATGCGTGTTTACGATTGTCAATGAGTCATGACATATTTGAGCGGGCACTTGACCATGAAATTTTAAAAAATAATACTGCATGCAGATGCACCATGCAGTGCAATAACACAGAGTATCAATATAGATAATATGTAAGACGGTGCGACCGTTGGTGAGGGCGGAGCCATCAAGTGAACATTTCTACATTTTATTGTTTAATGATAAATCAGTGTTAAAATCAAGTTGTAAGTCATAACAAAGACCTCAGTCCTTTTAAAAAAACTCTAATTAAGTTCTCTTACCTCAAATATTTTTTTTATTTCAAATAAAGAAATTTAAGAGTATTTGGTTTTATAAAGCTGGAAAACTTTTACTAAGATATTTCATCATGAATTGCTTGGCCAGAGCACTCAAAATCAAATAGCATAACGGGGAAAGAGTGTGCACTGGACCAGTGTCGCCAGTCAGGGATTCAACCTACCCAGGCCCAAGAACTCTTAAACGTTAACTTTTTCATCTATATGTATCTGTCCAACAATTATACGTGAGCTTGCATGAGCATCATTTCTTTATCTTTCACGACTTAATAAAAAAAAACCAATCCAGAAACATCAAGTCATTTAATTCTCATCTTTTACTTCCAATGCATGGTTATGACATCAAATACAAATAAGGACAATTGTCAGGGACTACATGGGAAGTTGACTTGGGACCCAAACTACAGAAAGATGATCTGACTCCTGGGTTATCAGGACACTTGGAAACTGATCATCTGACCAACACTAGGGCTGTGTATCGTGAGGGCTAAAAGTATCAGCATCGCAAAATTTCTGAGAATTATTTTCTTAATTTTAATGGAAATAATGTAGAGTAAATTTAACGTTTCTGCATTTTTAAAAAAACTAATCTGATTCGAATAGTCTTTAGTGCTTTCTAAAACTAACATAAACGCAAGATAATTTTTTTTTTCTTTTTAATATCTGAAAAAACGAATTTAACTCAATGAAAGTTTTTTTTTCCAGATATTAAATTGTTTAAGCGAAAACTATTAGAATTTTTAAACCAAAACTTGTGAATAATAGGATACATTTCTGGGAAGTATCGAATAGAATATTCCTGCATCAGTAATTGATGTTTTGTGACATCCCTATCCACAACATAATAAAATGGATCATATATGGAAGCTTTAAAAAAAAGATATTTTAGCACTACTCAACAACTTTGAACTCTTTACATGGATTAGCATGGGTAATGTCAAATGAAGATTCGAATTTTTTTTTTTTTTTTTTGGTTTTTTGTTTTTTTTTTTTTTTTAAGCCAAGAGAACATGAAACTTTATTCATATACATGTCATGTATTTTGCTGTCCCTCCTGTATTGTTTAACTTACTTTTTCTCATATGGTTATGTATTGTTTAACTTCATAGTTTTTCTCATGATTTTGGACTTTATACACTATCATAGGTTCCAACTGGCTGAATGCATTTTCTATTCTATATTTTTAAAAGTACTTTTTAAAATAAAAATTAGAAATCATTTTATTTTATCCGTTGAAACGTATCCACATGCATAAATGGAACATGTGTTTGATGTGGTAGTTTGAGCTTCAGACATGTTCAAAGATTTTTCTTTTGATGGTGAGCTTCACAAAACTGAAATTTAACACTTAAAAAAATGATAAATCTTTTGAGAAAAAAAAAATTCACAACAAAAATGAGACACAGGCCTCCACCTGCAAATGTATATAGGAACAAGCAAGTAATCAAAGACAAGAATGAATGAATGAATAGATAAATAATAAATAAATAAAAAAAATAAAATTAAGAAAAAAATTTTAAAAATTAAAATGCATACCCCTTTCCCCCTTCTTGAGTTCATACCAGAATTCAGTAAAGCTTTTCATGCTTTTTACCACTAAAACATTTTTTAAAAATGTATTATTCAATAGAAAAATTATAGTATGTCACAAAAAATCTAATATTTCTAGTATGTGTATTGAAAATAATCCTGAAGACATTCGTAATTAATAAATTTTATTAACAAAAAAACATTCGTAATTAATAAATTTTATTAACAAATAAATTAGAGTTGTTTCTTTTCCGTAAAGTCTGGTGAAACGGCCACAGAAAGATCCGCCCCTCCATAGTGCGTAGTACGCAGTCTAGACAGTGACGTCACTGGAATTCGTTAAACTAAGTTTTTTTTGTTTCACCAAAATATAGTAAAGTTTATTAAAAGGTGAATAAATCTGTTTTTAAAAAGAGAGTACGCATATGAAATATCAATTATTACAGGTTGTTAAAAATGCAACAGTTTCCACTGATTCATCAATGAATGACGTCACATGTCAGGTCTATGACGATCGAGAGCAAGTTATAGTTGAAAACGAAAGTAACAAGGATGTGTACCATGAGGGTGTTTTTGATTATTAGAATTGATAAAACTTCATTAACGCAGGATTGGAATTAAAATTTCGATTCTCCAGCATCTCGTTAATGCGGGAATTTGTCACGAGATTCAAGATGGAAAAGACTATGGACGCCACATTGGCGACAAGGTTCTCATTTCCATAGGTATTGTAATAAAATTATAGTTTACAATAGAATTCAATATATTTTACATACATACGTGTTACCTATAGGGAGAGCTTCGCTCTCACGGGCCCAAAGGGCCCGTAAGAGGGCTCTGCCCTCTATTAAATAAGTTACAAAGAATGAAGCATTTAAAGTAAATTTTCTAGGGGGAGGGGCAGTGTTCGAAATTCAGAATTATTTTCTATGGGTCCAAAACACCCACAGATAAAGAGACCATACGAGTCCTTCCAGGCAGAGACATATAAAAACCATGTACGTTTTTATATGTCTCTGTTCCAGGGCAGCGTAGGCCCAAAAATAATACATCAAATATTTGGGAAAAATAAACTTTTAGGTATTGATGATCTCGGTAAGTTTATCGCTTCATATGAAATATGTCAATTTAATAAAGGGTATCTACAACTCGCAAGTATTAAGGTTTTGTCAAAGGTCAAGACGTCCAAAAATTTATATTTACAATAGCTCCAAAACTATGTGAGGTATAAAGTTAAAACTTTTACAGTTTATAAATATATTATTGATTAACAGATAGAAAGTATCACTTGAAAACAAATCTTTAAAAAAAAATATTTTTTGAGAAAAAAATTTCAAAAAATTTGCATATTTTTTTAAAAAATGCACCTGCTTAATTCTGTACTTTTAGTAAAAACCATCATTGTAGAAATAATATATGTTTATCAATGAAGGACAAGTTGGACGTGATTGGTCTCTGAAAGGCTGTTATTGAAAGCATGACATATATAAAGACAAGACCCCTATAAAACCCGCCATTTGCAATGTACTTTCGGTTTCAAATCTTAACATTTGGACAAAATAAGCAGGGAAAACAACTTTCCAGAGGCTATCATTGATAAACATATATTGTTTCTGCAATGATGTCTTTCAATAAAAGTATGGAATTAATTAGGTGTATTTTAAAAAAATATATGCATTTTTTTAAAAGAATTTTTTTGATAAATATTTTTTTTAAGGTATTTGTTATCAAGTGATACTTTCTATCTGTTAATCAATGATATATTCATAAACTGTGAAAGTTTTAACTTTATAAACCACATAGTTTTGGAGCTATTGTAAAAATAAATTTTTGGACATGTTGACCTTTGGTAAAACCTTAACAATATGAAACGGTAAAACATTAATCGTCACAGTCTTACTTGGTCATAAATAACACATAATGATTTTAACATGTGTTTATATTACTGTAAACATGCTTTCCCTCGGAATTACAATTTCTGTTTTTAAAATCCGTGGGTTGAAAATTATGCAGGTCTCTTAGATTGCCACAATATGATGTACTTAAGTATACTTGGACAATTTACCATGGAAAGTTTGTAACTGCATACATACAGCGTTAATTTATTCCACCCAGAAAAAATTCAAATCTTCAGTATTTATTTAAAATGCACATGAAAAGAAGAATTGATACGATCTTGATAAAAATAACAAGTTTTACCCATCTTAAGTCCAATTTCTTTTAAAGACGCTCATTTTTTAATTTGTTTAATATACCCAATTAAAATGTAGGAAAGATATAAAAGTTAATGTAAATGCATAAACCAATTAAAATATGTTAACTTCAATTGCAACTTCTTAAGCCTTTCCAACAAGTGGTGAAGAAAAACAACGGTTTATATTTCCAAGTTTGCCGGAAAGGTCCGAGAAGATGTGATTGACGTTAACTTGTTTCCGGGCAAATCATCGTCGGCCCAAAATTATTTCAAGGACCCATTTAAAATACTATTTGTGAGTCCTTCCATTTGTACGTCGGAGCAGGACCGACGGGCCGATGCTAATTTCGAACACTGGGGAGGGGTGTGAAAAATAATGACTATGATGATGCATGCTGAGAAAAGAACGCATTTAAGAAAAAAGTGTGATAAAATAGCTAAATCAAGCTATTCTGAATAGCTTAATAAAGCTATATAGCTAGATCAAGCTATGTAGCTAAATCAAGAGATTGTGCCAGACCTGTTTTATGTATTTTTCCCCACTGATTATAATGTGTTATGTAAAAAAAGAAATTGTTGGGGACAATGACTTATCTGTAATGATAGAAACATTATAGCACAAGATCTTGAAACATTGCATTTTGTTGGTAAATTTAAAGAAGCATCAGCATTGCAAATAACATTCAAAACTATAGGGGCCATATGGGCTCCCACCTTTACAAGTTTTCAAGTCCACATTGATATTTTAGGGCCCACAATTTCCTCTCCAATTTGTAAAAAAAAAAAATGACCTCTTTGCATTTTATTAAATCTCTGAGAAGTATACTGCTGTCCACAGTCTTTCATTTCCGTGATGATTTCAACA